AATTTCTTATGTATGTAACAGCATGTATCTATGTTCATATTAGATTCGTAGAGGCTAGTAACGATGCTAACAATAATATGTAAGGCGAAAAATTTCCTCTTGTGTTCGTACCCTCACATTTATATGACTTGTTAGTTGATTATCAGTCAAATTAATGAAGGAGATGATTATCCAGTCAGTTAAGGACTTAAAAACAAATGAAATAATTTTCAACTCTCCTCTCTTAAGCACTTTACATTGAATTTTATCTGGCTGTCAATATCGAGAAAATGCACCACGTGGTCACATACGCAGAGCTGATTAAACTAATGTCTGATTTTAAGTACCACATGATTTTTTGTCAGCATATTTTTGGTTGACCTCAACCCTTAAACCTCCCACCGTTGTGAAAAGGAACAACAAGCAATGACGTGACGTGTGCTCGGAAGTAAATGCTACATGAGGATGCGTCATGTTGATTATTATTCCATCAATATAAAGAGAAATAAAAATGTATTTCAAAATTATTTAATAACAGATGAATAGGAAAAGAACCATAATTTTATTTTATTGTAGTTGTATATTTTGAAAGTGAATGCCTATTAATCTGTATCTATAAGAAATGTATTAAATATTGACACAACTATAAATAAATCTAAAATTTTATATTCACAGCTATAACACAATATAAGAATGCATTTATTATAATTGGGCAGCTCGTCATGAGGTTTCTGATAGGAAATATACATAAGTAAAATTTTACATCTCCATGCAGATATTTTATTGAATATAATTAATTTAAATTAATTTCATTTCACAGTTCTCATGTTAATGAGGTTAAATCTAAACTGAAATTTCTGATACCATATAATACTTTGCAGTGTAAGTTATCCTGATATTATCGGATCAGTTAATTTAACTACGACTATATACATATTATGTTTGGTGCAACAAAAGGATTGAATTTTATTCCATTCTACAGTATCAGGTTCAGAAAAGGGTTATGTTTCAAGGAGACATGTTTAATTACACCAAGCGTCTCTCCTCTGCAGGGCAATATGAAGCAGCACATGCTGACACACAAGATCCGGGATATGCCATCACACCTCTTCGAGACCAGCAAACCACCTCCACTTCCAGTACATGCCTCAATTAATGATGAGGGAAGTAATACTGAAGAAATACACACATCTTCTTCTTTGGAATTACCACTTAAACCTGACCTGGGAATGAAAAGATCACCTCCTGAAGGGGAAGCCGTCTTGCCCATCCCAAAGCGTCAACCAGGTATAATGCAAATGCATTTTTCTTGCGACGTTTATATCTAGGTTTTTATTTTTCTGCTTACGATTAACTGCTGCTAGTGGCTTAAACAAATTTGGTGGAAGATTATCAGCTTCACTTTCTCAGTTGATGGGTTAATTTTTCACCAGATTCAGTAGTTCTCAAGAGGCTTTATTCCTTAACCAGAAACTAAAACATTAATTTGTATTAATCCAACCAAATGATTGTTTATTTTCTAACCAAACCTTCCTGGACTCTTCATGTTACTATCAATTAAAACTTCAAAGTCCAGAAGTTATATTGGATTGAGGTATATATATATATAAGAACTCTTCAATCACTTTGCTTTTATATACCTCCCGCCTTCTCCTGTCTGTGGATTGAATAAGTATACTTACCATAGATGAAAAGGACTTTTCAATAAGCATATAACATAACTGTTTCTTATGAATGCAAGAAGCTTGATCTTAAGGAGTGTTGTGTGTGTGTTTGCAGGCTTGCCAAAGCACTTGTGCCATGTTTGCAATAAGAACTTCTCGTCCTCGTCGGCACTGCAGATACACATGCGCACCCATACAGGGGACAAGCCTTTCAGATGTACAATCTGTCAAAAAGCATTCACCACTAAGGGCAACCTTAAGGTAACTATCTTCCTGTTAAAATAACTCACAGAAGCAGGTGCGATCAGTTTAATTAAATTTGCCCCCATGAGAGCTCAAATATTATTGGGCTTGAATATGGGCGTATAGAGCAGAAAACACAAATTTAATTACAGAATAATAAAATGTCAAATTTTCAGCAACTGAAAACTGTTACATGGACAATAATGTCCGATCTTAAATACTTTTGAAACTGTGTACAAGAGTTAGAGGATAAAGGCAATTTCTGCTCCAGTTCCCAGTTTCGTATTTTTTTTTGTTCACGTATTAAAAATTCAATCAGACAGCTCAGTCAGTAGAGCAAAAGACTCTTAATCTCTGAGTTAGGGGATTGAGCCCCACATTGAGTGCCATTTATAACCAACCTTCAGCCTTTTATTGTGATTTCTACCTCTTCATTTGTAAACGCACAATTTAATCCAGTCTAACAAGCATGCCATTAAATTACAGGGTCTCTCAGGGCTGTTTATGGGTGTGGTACGATATGTGAAGTGATTGGATTAATCAGATACCACCAGGATTTAGATGTGTGTAGTGGAACATTCTTGGAATTGATCTATGAACCCCCTTGCAAGCACTGATTCACTCACCACAGAACTTCACTTAAAACCAGTGTGAAGAATACTTCATTAAACAGAATCCTACTAATGGTTAGCCATATAATTAGGGGTTGAACTAGTTACGATCACTTTACAACATTTACACTATCGCAAGAATTGTGACACACAGTTGAACTAGTTACGATCACTTTACAACTTTTACACGATCGCAAGAATTGTGACACACGCTAATTCTAATACATGTGGGATGGACAGAGTATCAAATCCTTCTAATTTATATGTCCTTAAATTGTTCTGGGTTCTGTAGACACATTAACAGTAAACTTAAACATTAATGACTGCTCAAGTAGATACGTCTGTTGTCATAACCTCACTTAATACACTACAAACTTCCCATTCTTACAGCTGTCACTTGATTAATGAATCATTATGCTAGTTTGGTTGTACATAATTGTTTGCCAGCATTTTACTTAACACACTCTACTACCCTTTTTTGGTTTACTATTACAAAATTAGTAGCCCAACTGCCAAATGTCTAGCCTGGGCATTGAATTGACCTGAATGAAAACATGTTATTCCATACCCACAAGTTACAAAATTTCATTTTCAGTTTATTATTATTGTATTTTTATATACCTATAAATATTTTGTTTTTGGCAATGGCATTCTTCAGTTGGTGTGAGTACTGAAACACATAAATGAAGAAAACTTTTCTCGCAGCAGGCGAATATACTTTAAATAAAATACTTTCACATCGCTTCGATTAGTCACTTACTTCAACAACCCATATGATTTCTGCTGGTTCACATTTAAATACTAATTTTATATCTCAGAACTTAAAACTTTTCATGCCAAATAATATTCAACCACGTGTATACATCTAACTTATTACAAATTGTGTAACGGGAATGTGAAAATGAACAGCTAAATATGCATGCACTCACACAAACTCCAATTCTGCATGAAGTCCTGCTAGACCCATCACTATATTCAGTTGTTTTTGTCTTTACTAACGCTTCTTAAAGCTTACTAATAAATATATATATATAATAAAATTATAAAAAAAATTATTTTACAGACGCGGCTGTTCAGACTACTGTATGTTCAGGCTAGACAGCTGTTTGTTTAAATGTAACGAAGCATGTAGTAGTAGTAAAATATGTGAGCTTATCTTCAGAAGTATTAAATAATTTCACATCTTTTTTACATTACAAGTACTTTTTTATCAGAAAAGCAAAACAAAAAACTATGAAATGCCCATGTGGCAAACATTGGCTCATGTCCAGGTGCACATGGGCACTCACATGTGGAGCAACGGGGCCTCTCGCCGCGGTCGGCGCATGTCTCTCGATCTGCCACCAATACCCATGACGCCCAAGGATTCAGAGTTTCTGCAGCGGAGGCCAGATCTTTTCTACCCTTATCTGCCAGCCCCATTCCTTAATGGCATGCAGCAGAAGGTAACCACAGCATGAGCACAAGTTATACTAATGGGCATATTTTACTACTGTAACTAATAATAATGACAATAACAGCTGTAATAATGCCTTATTTCTAAAAATTATGTTGCTTTTATGTGAATATATTTCCAGTCAATGAGCATTAAATAATCCCAGAAATAAAATATGAAAAAAATTTATTTGATAAATTATCTATGATTTGTTTTAAGATGCCTTTCTCCATCAAAGGGCTAGACCGACACACACCTATTGTCCGTGGGCCACAGAGTGTAGACAAAGAATAACAACTTGTTTCTTGTTGTTAATAGTGGGAAGATGGAAGT